TGATTTTCAGTTTGATGATAGGATGATGCAGTATGTATGGAGGGAAAGGCCCAAACATAGCCACAGTTGCGCAAAGGTAAAAAGAGTATATTACATCATCAACATCAAGGATATGCACTGGATAACCATCGTCGCGCTTCTAAAGGAAGGCTTGCTGCAAATCCTTGAATGCAACCAAAGTATTTGTCGAGAGAGGCAGTTGGAGACGGAGTTGGAGCCACTGTACATATTGTTCCCGTGGCTATTGCGTGATAGCAGTATGTTTCAACACTTCGGCGATGAAGTACTGACAGGAAAGTGGCCAATCAAGCGCCTTCCCGTCCCGACAAATGACTTAAGGTAAATTTTGTATAAAAGTTATATAATACAATTGTTCTATAAGCTGATTCTAATGCTAATGTCTTCGTCCTACTGTAGTGCTGATTGTGGGGCATATGCACTAAAATTAATTGAGTTCGACATGACCAACACCCCGATGGATGGCTTGAATGACGAAACAATGAGCAACTGTCGGGAGCGATGGGCTGTTGAGTGCTTCCATGGGCATATATCTTTTGACTGACCAGAACCCAATCCAAGTCATTGTTGATGCTGTCATCAAAAAGTATGAAAGTTAGACTTAGAATTTTGTAGTTTATGTGATGCTATCTTATTGGGTTGTCTTGAATTGGATCAGCTGGTGTTGTTAGGCCTTAGGCTGTTGATATTTGGGTTGTGGTGCTACTACTGATGCTGATGTTGAAGGTGTGCTAGATAATTTTGGAGGATGGGGAAATGGCTGAAGAGAATGATGAAGAGTGGGGATGGAGGTTGTCGGCCCTGCTTTTGTTTTGGGTGTATATATGAGATTTATTTGTTGTAATTGACACATTTCAAATTAATACAAAAGCAATTCAGTATTTCTCTCCCTCTTTTGAGTTTGAGTTTATTTAGTATTCTTGTTACATGGCATTGATGTGTTGATGCAATTAGGTTGTCAAATTTAGGAGAAAATATGGAATTAATATGTTTTGGTGATTTTAGTCTGTCAAAATTTAGGAGAAAAGCTAGAAAAAATAGGTATTGTCCATGATCGCTAAAGTGATATATAAGCAACTACATATATCGCTTAAGCGACAAAGGGTTTTCTATAAAGGATCGCTTAAGCGAGATAATAAATCGCTTAAGCAATCGTGCATCTAGACATATGTTTATACTGTCATGGACTTGATCGCTTAAGCGACTAAGGGTAAAAGCAAAGAATCACTTAAGTGAGACAACAAATCGCTTAAGCGATCGTGCATCTAGGCAAATCTTGATTTTGCCTCGAAGTTGATCACTTAAGCAATACCAAATCACTTAAGCGACTAAGGGTAAAAGCGAAGAATCGCTTAAGCGAGACCATAAATCGCTTAAGCGATCGTGCATCTAGGCAGATCTTGATTTTTCCTCGGACTTGATTGCTTAAGTGATTTGGTATCGCTTAAGCGACCAAGGGTAAAAGCAAAGAATCGCTTAAGCGAGACCTTAAATCGCTTAAGTGATCGTGCATTTGGGCAGATCTTAATTCTACCCCAGACTTGGTTGCTTAAGGTAAAAGCGAAGAATCTCTTAAGCGAGTGATAAGAGCTTGAAAATACACATTTAGTTAGTGGTTTATGGGGATTATTTGCGGAAAATTAGGCTTAATTTGGTAAAGTTGCTTAATATTTTCATAATTGTCTTTTATGGGATCACGGGTGTGTTTGAGTATTTTTTAGGCTACTAGTGCTTAAATGTTATGCTCATATGAAGAATTATGTCGGCAACGGAATGAATGACGAGTAGAAACAAACAGATCAAGAATCGGAGTTGAATTGAAGAAGTTATGGAGGTTTGAAGTAAAGAGAAGATTCTAGATTCCGCTCTAGCTTGAGTATACCTCGGTCTTTTGAAAATATCTCAAGCTGTAGAACTCTGATTAATACAATTCTTTAATTTTTGGAAAGATAATTCAAAGGGCTAAATTTCATATGTTTACCACTTCTCCAAATTTCATCGTTATTGAGCTCAAAAATCACCATCTCTGAAGTGCCATGGAATGATGCGAGAAGAATAAGAGTTATTACTGTGCTGTAGCACAGTGCTGCGGCACACTTTGTCCAGCAGCTACCATGCTGTAGCATAGTGCCGTGGCACACTTTTTCCAATAGCTACCATGCCATAGCACATTGTCGGGGCACAGTTGTTAGTAAACGGTCCCGTATACGCAGCGGAAACGAAAAATAAAATAACAGGATCGTTTACATGAGCCAAGATCAAGGGTATGATTTTAACAATTTATATTAAATAAAATCTGCATAAATATACAACATGAGTTAAGAGAAACAAACGCACGTTGAAGGCTCCTCCAAATTTGTCGTCGAACGTTTTGCTACCGATCCAAGTGTAGGATCGAACCTGCGTAGTCCACACGAAGACAATCTTANTCCCTATCTGATACTTGGCTGCCATGTGAAGGTCTACCGGTAGCTATATTTGGTTGTCGCAAGGTCCACATGTGGCAGCCAACTATGGTCAATCGCCGATTGGCAAGAAATGCAAAGGGAGAGTAGAAGAAACATAAGAGGCGGGAGAGAAGAGAAGGGAAGAGAAAGAAAATATGCATAAGTTTATATACAAAAGAAAGATGTAGATTTAAGGAGGAAGTGAGTGGAAGGTGTTAAAAACAAAGAGAAATAAGAGGAGGAAATTTAACTGGCTAGACCTCCCAAGTTTGCATTTAAAAAAATGACCCTGAAAATATTTTGCAATTTTTTTTAATTTAGAAAAACTAACGTGGCACACTTAGAATTCATTAAACATGTCAAATGGGTTAAACTGAAAAGATTTAAACATATGTGGATAATATATAATTAACGAAAGTTTGTTTAAATTTTGAAAATTAAAAACGACCCTATCCTTCAAAATCGCTTAATCGACCCCAATACCCAAAAAAAGACCGACGAACACCTTTGATTTCTCTGCCATTTTTTACGATGAAAGTGCCCTATTTCCGGAAAATATTCATTCCTAAAGCTTCCTTACACAAAATCATGGCTGATATTAACAAAGAGGAAGAAAACCCAACCCCACTCCAAATCCTAGACTCCGGTGACGGCGGCAGTTCAAAGGTTGTCGAAGAAGACGCTCCGGTGGATCATCCGATGAGTGAAGGTGGTCCACAGATAGAGGAGACAACGACGGCATAAGAACAGGAGAAGAATTGAAAAACGGTTCTGAAAAGGAGGACGCCAACAAGCATTCAGGAAAGGAGGAGGACGCCAGTGAAGAAAGGGTACGTTTTTTACTTGTTGTTTTGAATTTGATGAGAAATTTGATTGATTTGTGCGAATTTGGGGGATATATAGTTGGTTTTATTGTTATGGTGGTTGTGGCATTTTGTTGAGTAGTTGGTAGGCATCAAGGGAGCGGCTTTGTTTGGGTTCCAAAGGAGGGGGGAAGGCAAGGAGGGCTATAGGGAGGTTGTTTGTGGGAGGTTGGAGGGCTGGGATGGCAATAGGTGGCAGAATAGGGGGTTGGAGGGCTGCCCTGCACGTGCTGTGCATGGCCAGCCCTACAATATGTAGGACAGCCTTCCAACCCCCCTATTCCGCCACTTTTTGCCATCTTTAGCCCTTCAACCTCATGGAACCTGTCACAACAGCCTCTGTAGGGCTTGTATTGGCTTCCCCGATCCTCTCGAGGCCAAAAACACCCACTCCCCAATGCCTTTGAAGCCCATATCCCCCAACTTGGCGGCCTATTGGTTGTTTTGATTTCTTTTTTCGCTGATATTTGGTTTATATTGATTGTGCAGATTTTCCGAAACGTAAACTATAAAGACTATGGGTTGGAGTTTCTAAGCGATAAGGTACCGTACTTCCTCATAAGGGTGACAGTTAGGTCGAGTTGGCAAGTTTTTACGAGAATAATAGAGATTTACAAGAACACAAGAAGGGTATGGACCGATTCAAAAATAGTTGTTTCGGTCATTTTTTGAACATTGAAGAAAATTGAAAAAAGGCGTTCTGGGGGCAGGCAGTGCATTATATGTTGCTGCACTCAGTTAAAAGCCAAAAAAAAAAAAAAAAATGAAATGTGGTTCGTGGTGGATGGGAAGCCACAACGTTTTGGAATGATGGAATATGCCCTGATGATAGGCTTAAGATGTGGGGCATTTCCAGATGCGGAAGAGCAAGAGAGAATAAAGAAGAGTAGGCTAGCCAATAACTTGGCTAAAAAGGTTTTGGGGGGGAAGGCGTCTATTACAGGACGCGATTTAGAGTAAAGGTTAGGAGAAGGTGGATAATTTCTCCATTCCAATTCCCACTCTTAAATTAACAATACTAATGATTTTGTGGGTTCTGACATAGTATAGAGAGTGTTATTACCAAACTACCTTGACAATAAATTAATAAATTACTTTTTGACTCCCAAATTAGTAGAATTAGAAAAATAACCATCTTACTTTTAAATGTATTTTAATGACACCCTCTTCTTCAACCTCTTCTTCTCACGTCCACAAAGCCAAAAGGTGGTGGCGGATGGCGATCGGTGAGCAACACCAATCCATGAGATGGGGATTTTGTTAAGGGATATCGATGATGTGATGGTGAGGTAGGTGAAGTTTTTAGCGTCAGGAACAGCCAAAATCTAGCCAAGAAGCGACAAGTCACGCGAACACAAGCCTAGCGAAACCAACGATTGAATAAGGTAGTAATTGGGGGTGTTTTGTTTTGATGGGTAGGGTGGATCTCTTTATTGCGATTGTGAAGCAAATCTTGCCTCCTCAATTCTTTAGGTCATCAACCAAACCCAATAGTAATACATGGTCTAGCAGGGACAAGCAAACAAAAAAAATCACAATTTAACATATTCATTATATTCGAGCATCAATAATTGAAGGAAACTAGATAAGATGATATGATAGATTGGGTTTAATCTAACAATCAATTTCAAAAGGGAAGTGGCGAGTGAAGGACACTAATGAAACTAAGAATCTAGCATACCTGATGCAGCAAAGCCAAAGCATGAAACTGTACAACGGCAGCCCTTGATTGCACAGCTTCCTGAACCTCATTACTCCATCTTCTCACAATCTCTGGATTTGTCTGTAAAATATCAACAGTTGGATAATCGTGCAAATTAGCATTATTTTCAACTAGAATATCCAAACTCGATCTTCATCTACTACAAATAATTTGACAGTACCTGCAGTAAGTTGATTCCGCCAACTAAGGCTGCACTAGCAACTACTGGGTTCTTGTCAACAATTGCTTGTTTCAAGTACCATTCAATCTGGGTTAGTAGGGTTCCATCAGTTATGCGGCAAAGCACACGTATAGCATTTGCCCAATACATATCTGTCTTGCTATTCATGTCTTTCATAAGGGAGCTAGTCACAATAATAACCTTTTAAAAAAAAAAAAAGACATTGATCATCAGTATCCATATTTGCACAAGCAAAAAGAACGAGATTCTAACAAATGAAAAAGAAAATTCAACAAGGGCATATAACCTCATCAGCAGATAGAGATAGCTCCTTTATCATCAAATACACCATTCTCCTTAAGCCTGTATCTCTTGATTGAAAAAGCTTTGTCACGGCAAAGAAAACTTCCGTGGCTTTGATCTACAAATTTAGAGCAAGCAGACATCATTCAGAATTGGATCATCGTAGTATAACACAACAGTTTAACTACTCATCTAATGCAAAATCAAACCATCCAACAAGGATTCATCATATTATATCATAATGTACTAAATAGCCATGGATCAAATGATTCTTTTTGTAACCAATAATTCAAATAATATAACCATAGAATTGAAGTTACCTTATTGAATGTTTCTCCTTGGTTAGAAGCTTTGTGATGACCTGAAAAATATAAATGTGTCAACACAAAATATGGCTATTAAACGAATGCACACAAATGCAAATACAAAAATAAGTTTGAGTGACTACAAAACCTGAGAGCATCTTCTAGCATCAAGCTGAGGGCCATTGAAAACTCTAGCTTCTTGCAGAAACGCACCCTTCTCAATTCCCAAAAATGGAGAGTACTCCGCTGTTTAATAACAGCAATTACACATATAAGCGTGATTCAATTCTTGACAACAATAAGTTAAACAATAAGAACAATTATACAGCCACCAGATCCAAATCACCAAACACTTTCCTTCAGATCAGGTAAAATTAACCGTAATTACAATTAATTAACAATCCACATTGCAATTTACAACTACAAAACCATTACCTAATCAGATCAATTTAAACAAAACCAAATCCATTGAAATGACACTGTAGAATCTCAATACTGGATCCACAAATACGCCTAAAACGAGCGAAACTACACAGATCTAAAACCTACAGCTGATCTAGCACTAATAGCCTGAGATTTGTAAATCAAACAAAATTGAATTGAAGAAATGAAACGAAAAGAAATTGAAAAGGCGTCAGGTACCTTCGTCGTCACGATCATCATCTTTCTTCACAAGAGGCTGAGCCATGGCTGAATGGAGTGATTAAATCCTCTTGAGATCTTTCTTCACCGAGAGGCTTGCTCAGGTTCGGTGTAGTCTGTTTGTGTTAGACAAGTGCCTTTAAGCCGGGAAGTTTAAAGGGAATTTAGAAAGATGATGGGGTGAGAATAGAGTGTGTCTGAAGAGTGTGTAGGATTTGCTGTTGAGAGGATCTGACTAATGGGAAAGCGCCACGTCATAATTGAAATACTTATAGGAGGAGAATGTACTACTTAGCTGCCCCTTCGTTTTACATGATTTGAGTAATCACAATTGCCCATTCAAGGTTTGGCGAATCTCTGTTCCACCAATAGTTTCATAAATTCCAAATTCCACTCTTAAATAACAATACTAATGATTTTGGGTTCTGACATAGTATAGAGAGTGTTATTACCAAACTACCATTGACAAATAAATTAATAAATTACTTTTGACTCCCAAATTAGTAGAATTAGAAAATAACCATCTTACTTTAAATTATTTAATGACACCCCTTCTTCAACCCTCTCTTCTCACTGTCCACAAAGCCAAAAGGTGGGTGGCGGATGGCGATCGGTGAGCAACCACCATCCATGAGATGGGGATTTTGTTAAGGAGATATCGATGATGTGTGATGGTGAGGGTAGGTGAAGTTTTTAGCGTCAGGAACAGCCAAAATCTAGCCAAGAAGCGACAAGTCACGCGAACACAAGCCTAGCGAAAACCAACGATTGAATAAGGTAGTAATTGGGGGGTTTGTTTTGATGGGTAGGGTGGATCTCTTTATTTGCGATTGTGAAGCAATCTTGCCTCCTCAATTCTCCCTACTAACTGGCTGCCATGTGAAGGTCTACGGTAGCTATATTGGTTGTCGCAAGGTCCACATGTGGCAGCCAAATATGGTCAATCGCGATTGGCAAGAAATGCAAAGGGAGAGTAGAAGAAACATAAGAGGCGGGAGAGGGAGAAGAAGAGAAGGGAAGAGAAAGAAATATGCTAAGTTTATATACAAAGAAAGATGTAGATTTAAGGAGGAAGTGAGTGGAAGGTGTTAAAAACAAAGAGAAAAAGAGGAGGAAATTTAACTGGCTAGACCTCCAAGTTTGCATTTAAAAAAAAGACCCTGAAAATATTTTGCAATTTTTTAATTTAGAAAAACTAAGTGGCACACTTAGAATTCATTAAACATGTCAAAGGGTTTAAACTGAAAAGATTTAACATATGTGGATAATATATAATTAACGAAAAGTTTGTTTAATTTTGAAAATTAAAAACGACCCTATCCTCAAAATGCTAATCGACCCAAATACCCAAAAAAAGACCGACGAACACCTTTGATTTCTCTGCCATTTTTTACGATGGAAGTGCCCTATTTCCGGAAAATATTCATTCCTAAAGCTTCCTTACACAAAATCATGGCTGATATTAACAAAGAGGAAGAAAACCCAACCCACTCCAAATCCTAGACTCCGGTGACGGCGGCAGTTCAAAGGTTGTCGAAGAAGACGTCCGGTGGATCATCCGATGAGTGAAGGTGGTCACAGATAGAGGAGACAACGACGGCATAAGAACAGGAGAAGAATTGAAAAACGGTTCTGAAAAGGAGGACGCCAACAAGCATTCAGGAAAGGAGGAGGACGCCAGTGAAGAAAGGGTACGTTTTTACTTGTTTGTTTTGATGATGAGAAATTTGATTGATTTGTGGAATTTGGGGGATATATAGTTGGTTTTATTGTTATGGTGGTTGTGGCATTTTGTGAGTAGTTGGTAGGCATCAGGGAGCGGTTTGTTGGGTTCCAAAGGAGGGGGGAGGCAAGGAGGGCTATAGGGAGGGTGTTTGGGGAGGTTGGAGGGTGGGATGGCAAGAGGTGGCAGAATAGGGGGTTGGAGGGCTGCCCTGCACGTGTGTGCATGGCCAGCCCTACAATATGTAGGACAGCCTTCCAACCCCCCTATTCGCCACTTTTGCCATCTTTAGCCCTTCAACCTCATGGAACCTGTCACAACAGCCTCTGTAGGGCTTGTTTGGCTTCCCCGATCCTCTGAGGCCAAAAACACCCACCTCCCACATGCCTTTGAAGCCCATATCCCCCAATGGCGGCCTATGGTTGTTTTGATTTCTTTTTTCGTGATATTTGGTTTATATGATTGTGCAGATTTTCCGAAACGTTAACTATAAAGACTATGGGGTGGAGTTCTAAGCGATAAGGTACGTACTTCCTCATAAGGGTGACAGTTAGGTCGAGTTGGCAAGTTTTACGAGAATAATAGTTTTACAAGACAACAAGAAGGGTATGGACGATTCAAAAATAGTTGTTTCGGTCATTTTTTGAACATTGAAGAAAATTGAAAAAAGGGTTCTGGGGGCAGGCAGTGCATATATGTTGCTGCACTCAGTTAAAAGCCAAAAAAAAAAAAAAAAAATGAAATGTGGTTCGTGGTGGATGGAGCCAAACGTTTTGGAATGATGGAATATGCCCTGATGATAGGCTTAAGATGTGGGGCATTCCAGATGCGGAGAGCAAGAGAGAATAAAGAAGAGTAGGCTAGCCAATAACTTGGTTAAAAAGGTTTTGGGGGGAAGGCGTCTATTACAGGACGCGATTTAGAGTAAAGGTTAGGAGAAGGTGGGTATACCTCTTTAGAAAGGTTCAAGTAGTCTGGTATGGTTCGTACATTCGATCCTAATGGCTTCTGACTCAAAAAAAGCCGTTAATTGGATGGTGGGAGTTTGCAAGCAACATGGAATTCTTTAATGTATCTATGGGGACGGGTATCATTTAGCTAACCATGGGACTCCTTGCAAGGAAAAGACATGGCGTTAAAGCATCGTCAATCTATTGAGAAGAATAGACCAAGCATGTAAAATTGTTTGGCTTCCATGGGCAATACAGGTAAATAATAATATTTTTTTGTTATATTTTTTTATATATTGTGTTTTAATTATGATATAGACTGTTTTTTTACAATGTAGGCTTTGATGTATGAAGTCACCTGTCCTGGCTAAGGCGGCGGGGGGGGGGGGGGTGGGAAGATGAACGATCGCAATTTTCTAGGATATGCAGTGACATATCAAGAAGTGTACCCATTGGGATTATGACAAAATAGACATGGAAATTCAAGCGACTCGAGTAAGATTAAAGGATTAATTTTTTGAATATGCACTTGCTTTTAAATGTGGCTTAAATTGATTGATTTTTTTCTTATGCAGGAGGCGTTTGCTCTTCCTCATCGCTACTAGGGGTGAACGGGAGAGGATTTACCTCGTTCAAAGCATAGATGATGCAGTAGATGAAGGGATAAACGCCTAATGCGAGATCTAAAAGGGGTCACGCATGTGAGTGTAGTTGCAGGGCCACTGCTTAAGAATGTTGTTGATGTCGAGGATGATGAAGCTCCAATCGGCGGGAGGGAGGAGTGGGAGGATGTAACGCTTTCTCTCTCTTAGCTAGTATACTGTAAATAAATAGTAAAACTCACTAAGTATATATAAAAAAAATATTATGTAGAGAGTATAAAAATAAGGGCCCATAACTAATTTTTCTTATATACAAATTCTTAACTAATATAATAAAGTCACAAAACTCACTCGACAGTGTTGCCAACCTTCCGCTTCTTGACGTTCCAAGCGACCGATCTCACACTACTACTGAAACATTGAAAAACAACAAGGTGAGCACCAATTGCTCAGTAAAGTAAACCCGCTATGCCACTCTTCTATCTTCGTGCTCTATATTCGAATTTCTTTCCTACATCAACTTCTCTATCTTCTCTGTTCTTTCTCTATTCTTTCTCATTCTTTCTTGTCTTTCTATTTCTAATTTCACTAATCATGATAGTAGGCATGGTATCATGCATAGGTATGATGCAAATGCACAAATGCATAGGATGTGCATTTTCTTTCAGTTTTTTCATTTTCTTATTCTGTTTCTATTTTTCTCTGTATTGTTTCTATGCTTCCTTTCTTCTATCTTTCTTTCTTTTATTATTTTCTTCTTTCTATTCTAGTCTTTCTTTCTTTTCTTTTATTCTATTCTTTCTTCTTTCTTTCTTTCTTTCTTTTCTTTTTCTTTTCTTTCTATCTTTTTTTTTTTTTTTCATCTTTCTTTTCTTGCCGATCGGACTCGGGTAGGCATGGATTTGGAACCCTAGCGTGTGAGTGTATTCTCTAATTCTGGGTACTGTCTTCATCCATATGCACTTCTAACGGACTGTACAATTCTTCTTTCTGATTCTGAGGCTGCTCACTAAAGGCGTCGTGCATGCGGGGCTATATCACTCACGGATTCCCCATCACAACAACCTTCTCTTCTTTTATCTTTTTACACTTCTTTAAATAAAAATTCAGATTTGAACTTCTTTAATATTTCTCATATCTTTCTATTTGTTCTTTAACTTTAATATTCATTATTGCTTTTTAATGCTCTTATGAGTATGTATGCATGTACATGGGCTCATGCTTAATATTCTTTCTAAATTCACATGTTTGGATGCAATAATGCAATATAGAATGTAAACATGTCATTCTCTACCATCTACAAACTCATCTCAATATAACAAATAATAATACTAATACATGCACTTCTCTTTGACATTTCATCAAATAATTTATATGCACACATCAACTCTAATTTGGCTACACTTCTACCTCTCTTCTAAGCCACCAAAATTTGGAATAAAACCCACCAAGATTAACGTCAAACCTATCTAGGATTCACACTCCATAAATTCGACTCCAATTCTTCCATAATTCATCCAAACTCTCATCAAACATCAAGTAAACAAACACTACTTCCCATAGATAAATTCTAACCATCATTCAACATCCATTCCATCAACAATTCTTCATATATAAGTACATACATGTATAAAAGAAATTCTCTACACAATATTACTCCAATCATGACTATGGTTGGATTTACTTACCTTAGAAGTGAGCAATCCAACACTTTAGTAGTCTTCCTTGATCCAACTCTCTTTCTCTTAAATCCTACGAACACAAATCATAAGAATTCAATACTTTAAAAATTAAATCTCATATCTTAGTGCAAGGATCTTACCTAAGGATGCTTGGGATTGAAATTCCACTAAAAATAAACCAAGATCTATGAATTTC